GAGCCCTGTGGCAAAGAAAGTTCCAGAACACGAGGCTTGGCTTTGAGCTCCCTGCCCCACCCAGAATGCAGGTCTTCCCCAGCCTCTCAGCCATTCCCTGGCCCACACTTCCCCACTGAGTAAGGGTTGGCACTGCCCAGAGTCAGGAAGTCAGGAAGCAGGTCAGAGCCAGCTTCCAGTGCCAGGAGAACGTGGCTCTAGCAGAGCGACTGCATCAACCCAAGGAACGTCCGCGAGGCCCAGGAAGGTGTGTCTCAAAGGACACCATGAGAGGAAGGGGACCAGGGCTGCTCTTGGACGACCTGTCACTCAGGCTTAAAAGAGTGTGACCTTGGGCAAAGCATGGCTTTCTGCAACAACTGGAGGCTCCTTGGGACATGTGTGCATGACTGTGACAAGGACATGTGCATGATTGTGACATGTGCATGATTGTGATGTGTGCATGACTGTGACATGTGCATGATTGTGATGTGTGCATGACTGTGATACATATGCATGACTGTGGTGTGTGTAGGACTGGCATGTATGCATGCCTGTGACAAGCACATGTGTGCATGAAAGTGACATGTGCATGACTTGCATGCATTACTGTGAGGACATATGTGCATGGATGTGACATGTATGATTGGGACAAGGACGTGTGCATGACTGTGAGGATGGAAGCCCCTCCGTGAAGAGCCTGGTTCAGGAATCACCACCACCGCTTGCTGGCCAGTTAGCCCTGATCACGGCCTCCCCGCTGCGTCAATGCAGACCTGGGCCCACAGGGCTCTCGGTGGGGGGATTTGGAGGGAGATCACCAGGCCTTTCTTGCAACGTGCCCCTGGGCAGACTTGTACCCCCAGGCTTTCAGTTAGCAGCCCAGCCACTGTTTGCACCACCAGGGCTCCCCCTCCAGCCACGTGGCTCACCTGAAGGAGAAGCACCAAGGCTCCAGCCCTTTTGAGGCACAGAGACCCTTCCCCCACGCAGCAGTGTGGGGTCTGGACTTTGCTCTGGTGGCTGCAGGGCTGGGGCTTGTTTAGGAAGTTGACTCATCCCTAGTAACACAGGGCTCCCAGACCTAGCAAGTGAAAACTCAGGATGCACAGTTACATTTGAATTTTAGAACAAGTACATTTTTGGTGTAAGAATGTCCCATGTAGTATTTGGGACACACTCATGCTTTAAAAAAAAAAAAAAGATTCCTTGTTTCAGATAAATATGTTTTTGCACAAGTATGTCTCAAAAGGAGCCCTGGTGAAACCAATCACTAACTTTATATAGAAAGGAAAGAGACCTCAGATAAGCAAAGCACTATTGAAGAAGAAGAACAAAGTAG